AAAAAAAAAAAAAAGTGATAAAAACACTATCATAGTTGACAATAATATACAAATAAATATAGGTTAAAAAATATTACTCGACAAATATTAATTATAATGGATATCAGTAAAATCATTGCATAAATTATTTAAGGAAAAAAATTTTAAGATCATATTTGGATAGTAAATGTATACAAATAATATTTAAAAGTATCTAAAATATTAGTAATTAGACAAGTGAAATTTATATTTTTAAAAAATCTATATAGATAATGGATTTATAGTAGTAATTAGACTTTTATTTATTTACTTTTAAAGTTGTTACGATAGAGGGATGTGATTTTTTTGACTCGTGGAGATAGAATTTTATAAGTTGTGTTATGAAATTTTTCTTAAACTCATTCATATCTATGTGATGAGTTTTTTAAACTGGGTATATAGATTTAAAATTGTAAAAAAAAAAACAAAAAAAAAACTTTCATAAATATTTGATTTGGTATTTTCGAAGAACTTCATTAATTTAAAAGTGTAAAATAAATAAATAAAAAAAGTACAACTGAAAAAGTTATAACCAATTGTATGGAGAATTAAACTAAATCCAATTTTGTAGGATGCATTAAATATTGATTAGATTTTATATGTAAAATAAAATAAAAAAATAACTGGAATAGTTTTACGTGTTGCAATATTTTACATTTAAAAAAATTAAAAAATCTTTTTTTACCTATTGCATACCAACATTTTTAGGAAATACATGGATATTCCTAAATTAATATTGCATACCCAATATTTTAGGAACTAATTAAATGCTAATTTGATTTGCATACCAAAAATATTAGATGCATTAATTAAATATTTGATAAAAATAGCAAATCATTAATTAGAATTGACTATTCTACATACTACATTTTGTAAATAGTATAGATTTTAATATAAGTACAGATGAAAAGAAAACCAGAAAAAAATTACCAAGTCCTTTGCTTCAAGTTGAACAGTGTACCACACTATACACAAACTTGGTGTTAAACAAATTCCCAAGTACTTTACTTCACGGCCACGCATAATCTCACAAAAGAACACACATGACATATATATACAAATAAATTAAATAAAAACAAAACAAAAACTATAAATAAATTAAAAATAAATTAAACAAGAACAAAACAAAAACTATGTAAAAAATAAAAATAAAAAACATATGCATCACAGCAAGATAAAAAACTATTGTTAATTTTTTTCTATTTTTTTTTTATCGAAACGACAGGATAGATTAAACTCGAGAAAATACAAAGATTCGAGGGCCGACTGACCCTATACAATACAAATGAGGAAGAGCGCTTCCTAAATGAAAGGGGGAGTTTGAACTCGTTAACGGAAGAGACCACAGCTCTGAGTCCGGTCACCGAGCACAAACTCATCTAACAAAATACACAAGAGCTAGCGAGCAAAATTAACAAACCACTGCCTCGCCGAGGCCTAGCTTGCTAACAAAACCTAAACAAAAGAGAGAAACAAACAACACAAAAAGAAAAACAACCTAATCAAAAAGAACAAATAAGCAACTAAGGACCAATACTAGCAAACTCTAACCATTCTTTCCAAGCTATATCAACCGTAGCTGCTTCAGGCCTTAGAGAGTTTTCAAAGATCCATAGATTCCTCGTTTTCCAAATCCACCAGAGGATGTATGTTGATAGTTGAATTCTGTCCTCGGAGATGGAGTTCTGAGGGAGTGAACAAATCTTAATCCACCATGCCTTAAATGAGTCAGTACTATCCCTCAGGCCAACCCAAGATACTGGTGCCATTTTCCAAATTGTGGAGGCCCTTTTACATGTGAAAAAGAGATGCTCAAGAGTTTCCTGGCCATCTCCACAAAGTTTGCACACAATGTCTATCTTCATCTGCTTAGCAGCTAGATTACTCAATACAGACAAAGTGTTATTTAGGCATCTCCATAAGAAATGCTTAAGTTTTCCTTTTACCTTTAGTTTCCAGGTTCTTTTCCTTGCTGCTTTAAGTTGTTGTGCACCAGAGCTCTCTTCCGGCAGGTCAAGGGAGTGCCACTTCTTCTCTGCAAGCTTAGCATAAGCAGATGCCACCGTGAACTGCCCATTTTTGCTCCATATGCATTTGACTCTATCTGGCTTTTGAGGATCCAGTCCAGTGATGTTGAGTATAGCATCAGCTTCATGCCTCTGAAAGATTTCTTCAATAAGTTGTTTGTTCCATCTCCTTCCTGAATCTTTCATAAGATCCCTGACTTTCAAATTATCATCTCTGAAGGGGTTGGTGTCAGTAAGCTTGAATCCTGGGATGTTGTTGACCCATGGTTGCCTCCAGATGCTAGTTGTCTTCCCATCATGTATATCAATCTTCAAACCACACTGCACCGAATCTTTCACCTTCATCCAGCTTTTCCATAGCCAAGAGCTCCTTTGCGTGACCTTAGCTGAGAAGAGATTTTGTTTTGGAAAATACAGCCCTTTGATTATCTTGCTGACCAGGAGATTAGGGTGTGACATGAGCCTCCAGAGTTGCTTGGAAATAAGAGCTTTATTGTACAAATGAAGGTCGTGAAACCCTAAGCCTCCTCTGTCTTTAGGTTGTGTCACATGATCCCATGATTTCCAATGAATAGCATGATTCTTCTTATTTCTCCCTTGCCACCAAAAATTCGAAATAGAGCTAGAGATCTTATGTGTGACAGACTTGGGCAACAAGAAACAGGAGTATGCATATGTAGGCAATGCATTCAAGACAGCCTTAATAAGCACTTCTTTACCTGCAAAAGAGAGAGATTTGTTTTGCCAACATCCAAGTCTTTTATTCACAGCCTCCAGAACAAAAGCAAAAGTGTTATTTTTTGATTTCCCAATGCCAAGTGGAGTCCCAGATATTTTGAAGAGGACACCAAAGTTAATCCTTGAAGAACCTGACAAATGCCAATTTGGGTATGCAGTGGTGTGTTTTTACTAAAGAAGACAAAGGATTTAGTGAGGTTCACTTTTTAGCCTGTGAGATTTTGGTATGACATGAGAATGTTATGCAGGACAGAAGCTTGGGCCAAATCCGCTTTAATAAAGACCAGAGTGTCATCAGCAAAGCATAAATGGGTAAGAAGAGGACAGTCTCCCTAATTTAATGCCCTGCAAGGAGCCTTTCTCAACCTCAGTATTAATTAAGTGAGTGAGAATTTCTGAAATGAGAATGAAAAGGTAAGGAGATAGCGG